TCCCAGCTCCTGATTGTTCTTTCTACCCTGGGACCAACAGCCCTGGCCCACCTGGACTGAGCCTGATGCCCCCTGGCTCTGGCTCCATGAAGACTCTGGAAGAGAGCATCTCCTGCTCTTCACACTGCTGACACCTGCACCTGGTCCTAGTAACTCCTGACAGCATGCCAGGTATCAGGATGAAGGGGGGAGGGGAGGCTCTCTGCTTTGTTACCTCAGGCCTTACCCTCTGTGGCTTGTCACTTGTAAACCATGACCAACCAACCACCAAGGCAGAGACTGAGCCTCCTGCCCTTATTCCTAATCCTTTCCTCACTCAGAAAAGGCAAACGGTGCAGACTCATCTGAGGTAGCAACAGAGTTTAAAGGCAATGGGAAGGCAAAAACTGAATGTGACCAGAATGACCCTGGAAAATTCCTTGTACTGCCCACAATGTTCAGAGCCCAGATGTTCTGATTCCCTGAACGTGGTAATCTAGACCACTGCCTGATGTGCAATGTTGGCCACAGGCTACCTCTAAACTGCCCTATCAAACACCAGGACCAATGACTGTTTTCAAGGTTATTCCTAATTCTCAGGCTTTAAATACCTCTGCTCATACCTGCCTCCTTTATCACCTGACACCATTCTGCCTGTGAGTCACTCATTAGCATTTTAGCAGCCACTCTTATAGCCCAAAGATTTCTGAGTCTTGGATAAAATCCATACTTGCCTATATAAGGAAAAAAATACAAACCCTCCAATTTCCTGCAGGGATAAGGCCAAAGCATAGAGTTATAAGTCATAGTACAACCAGATTCCCAGGTACCTGCCACAGAGGAAGGGTAAGGAGGATTATGGGCTGAACTCTGTCCCCCTAAAATTCATATGTTGAAGCCCTAACCCCTGTTACTTAAGAACGTGACTATATTTAGAGACAGGGCCCTTAAAATAATAATCAGGGAAAAATGAGGTCATATGAGTGGGCCTTATCCAATAGGACTAGTGTCCTTATAAGAAGATGGACAAGGCTCAGCGCCTGTAGCTTAAGTGGCTAAGGCACCAGCTACATACACCTAAGGTGGTGGGTTCGAATCCAGCCCGGGCCCACCAAACAACAATGATGGATGCAACCAAAAAAAAAAAAATATAGCCGGGCGTTGTGGCGGGCGCCTGTGGTCCCAGCTACTTGGGAGGCAGAGGCAGGAGGCTCGCTTGAGCCCAGAAATTGGAGGTTGCTGTGAGCTGTGATGCCATGGCACTCTATCCAGGGGGACAGCTTGAGGCTCTGTCTCAAAAAAAAAAAAGAAGATGGACAGACTGAGGGACAATTATGTGAGGACACAGCAAGAAGATGGCTACTTACAAGCCAGGGAAAGAGGCTGCAAAAAAAAAACCAAAGCTGCTAACAGACTGATCTGGACTTCCAGCCTCCAGAATATAAGAAATTAGGTTTCTATCATTCAAGCCACCAATCCATGATATTTTTGTTATGGCCATTCAAGCAGACAAGGAGAATGTAGGTTCTGAGCCACAAGCCTACGGTCATTGCTGGGCCAGAACAAAGGCCCAGGCTTGACGAAGCCTCACACCCTTAGAAAATCTGCTTAGTTCCTAATGGCTCATATCCTTGTGACTGCTAGTTCTGCTGACAGCCTCTGTCAGCATTCCACCAACTCCTTAATACCTCAAGGGCTTACAGTAGCCACTGGTTAGAAATGGTGACCGCAAGGACAATCATTTGTGCTGGGAGAAATGGAACCTGAACCACTGCTTAGGAGAAGAGGCAAAAAGGAATGCTGCCCACCTCTAATGAAGGCCCCCCAGACAGCCCCTTCCCTGAGTTGCAAGGCCCAGAAACCCAACTAGATTTACTTTAACTACAATTTGTTGAACATCTATATCTGTAGCACTGAGCTACCTAATACAAAGATGAATGGAACTCAGGGCCTAGGAGATAATCAGATGGCTAAACAAGTAATTACTACACTAATCTACTTGTCTGATCAAGATACTCATGCTAAAAAAGGTCTGTGAGTAATCAGCTCTGTCAAGAAGGGGAAGTTCAGTGAAGGCTTCAAAGAGATGGCATCATAAGCAGGAATTTCAAGACAGAACTGGAGCTCAAGAGCAAATAAGAAGCTGAGGAAGCCCTTCTAGACAGACTTTCCAGCAAGGTGGAGTGGTTTAAGAACATACTAGGGGCTTGGCGCCTGTAGCTCAGAGAACAGGGTGCCAGCCACATACACCAAAGGTGGCAGGTTCGAGCCCGGCCCAGACCAGCTAAACAATAATGACAACTACAACAAAAAAATAGCCAGGCATTCTGATGGGTGCCTATAGTCCCAGCTACTCAAAAGAAAAAAAAAAAAAGAACATACTGGGGACACGCTGAACTAAAAGCAATGTGACATTGTAGGCTGAGGCAAGGAAGAGAACCAAACAAGAATGCACAAGAACACACAAGGCCCCACACACCAGCTGAAGAACTTGGCCTGCACCCTGTAGGGATGGGAAAGTCCTGAGGAATTTGAAGACAAGGAAACTACCAGGTTGGATGCATGTTTAGATGGATGCTCAGACAGCAGGTAAGGGGTAGAAGGTCAATGTCGAAACCAAAGCAGTCAAAGAAATCAAAGCAGCTGGGTGTGGGGGCTCACGCCTATAATCCGCAGGTGGATTGCCTGAGCTCACAGGTTGGAGATCAGCCTGAGCCAAAGCGAGGCCCTGTCTCTAAAAATAGCTGGGCGTTATGTTGGGTGCCTATAGTCCCAGCTACTTGGGAGGCTGAGGCAAGAGAATCACTTGAGCGCAAGAGTTTGAGGTTGCTGTGAGCTATGATACCATAGCACTCTACTGAGGGTGATGAAGTGAGACTCTGTCTCTAAAAAAAAAAAAAAATCAAAGCAGTCAAAGCAATCAAAGCATAAAGTATCACGGGTCTGTTAAGGCAGATCAGGACTCTTCTAAAATTTCTTCTTTTCCTCAAAGGCCCCACCATTTTTCCCAGCCAAGCTTGGCGGATTACACTCACTGGTTCTTTTATATTTTAGCAAATGACCTATTAAGAGGGTGAAACTGAGGCAATAATGCACTGTTACAAAAACTCAATGTCCCTGGACCCTGGCAGTTAGTTATATGTTTCTTGCTTTCTTAAGAAATAAACCAAAACAAGCCACTGACTCGCCAAGATAAAAATAGCCACATTGATGGCCTATCCAAAGTGAGTCTTATTGTCTCTTTGGCCTAGTTCCGATTCATCAAGCTCCACCATTAGTTCAAAGCCTGATCTTGACATGGTATTAGGCTGCTCTTGCCACTTTTATCCCACAGGAGAGCTGGACCCCAAACCTCAGCTCAGATGCTTTGGAGGCACTTAAAAGTGTCACTTACAAAAATGGACAGGATTCCCATTTAGAATCTTGAGCCTGGCTATTTCTATCCGTGAGCCACCCTTAGCAGGCCAACTACCCTCCCTCATTAGGTAGTAACCTGCTCTGAAGCCAAGACTGGGGCCGGGTTCTCTTATATCTCCCTAAGCACCAAGCTATTTAACCTCTCTGAGGTTGTCTCTTTCTCTGTAAAATACAGATACTAACAGGAACTCTATCTTGAGGTTATATGACAAGATAATATAAATACTAAGGGCCTGAGCTCACGTTGATGAAGGGCCTGTGAAGAAAAAAGGAGAAAGTGGAGTAGGAGGAGGAAGAAAGAAGAAGAGGAGGGGAAAGAACTATGAAGTCAGATATTCCTGGGTTCAAAATCTCTGCTCAACCACTTACTGGCTGTGTGACCTCAAGCAAACTACTTAACCTCTCTGACCCAAATCTCCTCCTCTGTAAAATAGGGATAATACTGACTACCTTGCAAGGGCATCTTAGATAAGGGCCTAAAATCAGAGTCACTGCTTTTTTTGGCCCTGAGTGGTACTTAGGAGAAAAAATCTGGTTTATGTTCTAATCATCCTGGGCAACCCAGCTCTGCCACCTAGATGGGAATGAACACACCATAGCAAAGAGCCCCATTTATAGGAAGCCAGAGCCCCCACCACACTCATCCTCAGGAACACTGCTCCCCTTCATCACTTCCCAGGGGAGGCTGCTGAGCTCCCGGCAATCCAACTCTGTTCTCTGTGGACAAAAGAGATGGAAGAGCCTGGCTCATCTCTCCCTAGACCCGAGTGTCTTTGTTTGTGAACAAGAGAACAGTACTTCTGCCCTGGCTGCAAAGCACTGGTGGAACATCCATTTGTTAAGGAGACCCTAAAGCACTGGTCCCTACAGACTTAGGAAAAAACGGGTTATTTTAAACCTCTCCTAAACCCAAGGGCTGAGCAAGTGAAACAAATGACTTCGGGACAAGGACCAGAAAGGTTTTTAAGGCTTCTCATTCTGCCAGAAGCACATTTAAAATTTTTAAAAATGTAAAGCTCACCAGCTCTCTTGGGTTCACTTTGTGCTAAGCTTCGGTACAGAGGAAGACAAAGCAAAACCCCAAACCCTCAAATCAATAGATCATGACAAATGCTCACCCCTTTCCACCCGGTCCTGGGCAATGTGGGGCCTGAGTTAGAGCAGAGAGAAGCAGTCAGCTCTGCTTTCCTACCAATGGTTTTAGACTGTTTAGAATTATGTCTCAAGAAGGGACAGACAGAGGCTGGTGTTGAAATCTGTTTCTTTTTTTAACAAGGAACGGGGCAGGAAAGGTAGCCAAAGGGCGGGTTTGCCCGAAGTCCCTGCCAAGCATCTGCAGACAAGCCAAGGTAACTCAGGTGCAAGGCAGGAAAGTGGCTGAGGAAACAAGGGCTTAGGGGCACACTGGAAGTAGACAAACCTGGCGGTATAGGATAGAACCACAGTCTCCCAGAAGTAGTTTCTGTGTCAGAACTGAAGGCTCAAACATGGGGCTAGGCAACACGTATACAGCTTTCCGACCACACCATAAAGCCCATAGCATCTCTCACCCTCTAAAACAGACAAGTTCGCGTCCCCTCAGCCAGCCCACCCCACTGTCTTACTTTTGCTAGGCAGCTCCTCTTGGCCCAGGCTGTTGGAGGGGGCCAATGGGGCACTGCCACTTTCGTCCAAGGTCAGGATGAGGGGCACATCGTCATCCAAACTCACAGCCATGTTCTCCCTTCTGTGGCCCTCAGGATGTGATGTCCAAGGCTTTAAATAGTCTCTGGTTTGAGATCCGTTTCAAAGCCACTGGGCCAGAAGTGCTTCTCAGAAATTCCTCCATTAGAGACATCTTCTAGGGTTCAGGGAATAAAGAAAGACAACAATTATTAAAACATAACCATTACTGATGAATATGTTCTAGAATTAGACAGTGGTAATGGTTACACACCTTGTGGATCTATTGATTATTATAATGAATTATACTCTTCAAAATTCTCAATTATATCTCAATTTTTTTTTTCAGACAGAGTCTCACTATGTCACCCTCAGTAGAGTACCATGGCATCACAGCTCAAAGCAACTTCCAACTCTTGGGCTTAAGCAATTCTCTTGCCTCAGCCTCCCAAGTAGGTGGAACTACAGGTGCCTCCCACAATGCCTGGCTATTTTTTGATTGTAGTTGTCATTCCTGGGCTGGATTCAAACCTGCCAGCTCTGGTGTATGTGGCTGGCACCCTAGCCGCTGAACTACAGGCACTGAGCCTAGATCTCAATTTTTTTTTTTTAAAAAGGAAGAGTTTAGCAAGGCATCGTAGGAGGCGCCTATAGTCCCAGCTACTCAGGAGGCTGAGGCAAGAGAATCACCTAAGCCCAAGAGCTGGAGGTTGCTGTGACACCACAGCACTCTACCAAGGGCGACAAAGTGAAACTGTCTCCAAAAAAAAAGGAAGAGTTATTATAGTATAATAGCATTAAAGTAAGAGGGGGAGGCTCAGCGCCTGTGGCTCAAGTGGCTAAGGCACCAGCCACATACACCTAAGGTGGCAGGTTCGAATCCAGCCCGGGCCCACCAAACAACAATGACGG